TGTACATTGTGCACGATGTATCTTATAATAGAAATCTACTTTGAAAAGCTAAGGATCACGTTAGCATATATATATATATATAGAAGTCCATCTTCCTTTTTGTTTGTTAGCAGTCGCTTTTCGTGCAGCTACTTACTCCATAAAGTACAAAAGAAGGAAAGACCTACAGCAAATAGATTTTTTCTTTACATTTACACGCATTTAAATAAATTATCCCCGGTATCCGTCAGTTGCTAGCTATCCTTTGATATCATCATATGTTTGGGGTTAGGGTTTGTAGAGTTTTTATATTTTTGAGAAGTTTTCTAATGAAGAATACAATTCCATTACAAAATATTTCTCAGCGTACGTAACTACTGAGCAAAGGATTTACATACAGTTCATTCAGTCAGTAATATCTTGTAAGCAGATATCCAACAAGGGTTTCCTTTCTGCCCTGTCCACATAGATGCGGGGATTCACTATAGCCATTTCAATAATCTGCCCAGATATAAAAATACACAAAAGAACAAAGTATTCGAGACAACATCTGGCCTGAGGCATTTTCATGAGGATAAACAGGTGCAATTCTTTCTCCAATGCATACTGCTCATTGTATAATATAGTAGAAATGACCTTTAGGACATTTTAAATACAACAACTACATATTACATTTTTGATTTGATACTATTATTTTGTCTCAAGTGAATTGACTCGTTCTGCCACGTAACTTGCTATAAGAAACCAAGTCACTGTTGTAGCCTGCTGTCAGTCTGAGTGTAAAGGCCATTAGGCATCGCGAGGACACCATAGACTGGAGGACACACATGTAAATGTTCATTCCCTTTGGTTATATAAAAGACTCTGAGGGAGTGGCAGCGTGAATGGGATCACTGCCTCAGGTTGTCTGTGTGCTGTTGAGTTTGCATCCTATTGCATAACACTCTTTTCGGGCACTCTTATCATATGCTGTCCCGAGACCAAGGGATTTCTACGCACTCTGACAAGCTCTGTCGTCATAAGCATGGAATATGTGATGGGATGTTTGTGTTTCTGCCGGTCTAGTCATGGACTGGAGAAGCATGACATTTGATATATCATATTCATATGTACATTTAGTTAAAAGTGTTGCATTTAATAATAATTGGTTTTCCAACATCAAGATGAGAGACGATTCCCGCCAACCCCTCAATAAGTCTGAAACTGTGAAACTGTTTTGTTTTTTTGTAGTTTTATGCCACGAATTATTTATTTAGTAAAATAGGAAAAATAAAAAACTGCCGTTCACACTGCATTAAAGTAATGTCAATTCACATTTGAATTTTTTTTATCTGTTTAGGTTCAGATACTTTTTTTTAGCATTAAGTAAGTATAACACAAATTATTGAAAAAGCCTCTTTCATAATTGTGATGTATACCAGCTTTCATTAACAAAACAAATCAGTCAAATCCATCTGTTACAAATGATGGATTTGCAATGATTGTGTATTGTGCATCATTTGTGTCTAATGTCTCCCTATAGATCTGTGTTATCCCATAACGCTACGTGTTGATAGGACGGATGTTCTGAAGCAGCCAGATGGAGTGTTGATGAGAGCATTTATAAAATCCTCTATGAGCTAATATGTTTGTGTATTCCCCTTCATTGTATTGAGCAATTCAAACACATGTGCACATCTGTGTTTGTATGTTTTGGCAGATGCATGCCTGTGTCTGCATGCAAACATGTGCTATGTTAATATGTGCTATACTGCTGGCAGGTATGGAAATGTTGCTGATCCTGACATCAGCTCAATCAAGTCGGTGATGAATTGAGCAGCTGTGTGTGTGTGTGTGTGTGTGTGTGTGTGTGTGTGTGTGTGTGTGTGTGTGTGTGTGTGTGTGTGTGTGTGTGTGTGTGTGTGTGTGTGTGTGTGTGTGTGTGTGTGTGTGTGTTGTTTATCTGCTAAAGTGTCATCCTAATGTAGAGTAGGCAAATTAGAGCCGACCCACTGGGGCTGTCATCAGCAGATCTCTTCTTCCCGTCCAATCGCTAAAGAGGCCAGGAGAATAGAGTCCCCCAGAGACAGCCATCGACAAGTAAGAGTTACTTACAAGAGTGTCAGTAGGTATCAGTCCGAGGGGTTAATATTAAATGAAGTACCGGCTCAGGTTGCCTCTCCTCTGTGAAGAGAAACATTAAAGACCCAATTACTGCTATCACCAACGCAGGACAAACAAAACACAGGACAACGGAGAATCCCTGCAGTGTTTCCATTCGTCTTTGACACGTAATATCTTAATGAGACCGAATCATTTTACTTCTCTGCAAGCACCATATCACACAGACAGAGCTGCCACTTTTAATAAATGAACATTAGTCCTAGTCTATGTTTAAATTGTGAGGTCATTATAAGGAACATTTGCTTTTGTAGAAGGGCATAAATGTGTTTGGATTATGGAAGATGTTGGAAGAACAGGACCTTTCATGAAATTGCAGACATTGAAATTGTTTCCCGGAGTTTCATAGCAGGCCAATCACTCCTGGTTATTATTGGCAAGAGCTGCCTGCCTGTTGAGTCATGAACTAAAAAGGTAAAAAGGGAGATGCTTTGTAGGTTTAATCCACATGCTAAATAGATTTTTTTTTTTAAGGATTTCACTTTATAAAATCATTTGACCAAATTAATTGGAGTCTTAGTTGCTCATGAAAGAATATTTCATTTCATTTTTTGCAGTATATGAGAGTGCACTAATGCCAAACTGAGAATAGGGTTTCCCTATTAAATCAAATGTAATCTACTGTCACTGATCTATTCACCGCATGCATTCAATTCTTGAATTTAAAAAAAAAGATATTCAAATGAAAAACTAACAAAGCATACATATTTAAATGACTTGTATAGATAGATATTTAGCACTTTCTGATCAAATGTGTGTAAGTCATATTTGTATTAAAATGTTTATATATTATTTTGATTACTTATTTAATACACTTACAAAATCTATTTGTATTTTCAAGGATATTTTAATGGGTAAACGTATGTTAAATAATAAAAGGTTTCCACCGGTGATACAAAACACCTTAATCTAAATGTCATGTATTCACACATTAACACATTTTCCACAATCCAACATTTCCAGTCATTACATCATCACTTAAACTTTATCACAGTCCAAACATATTAACCGCAACAGAGAGGAGCAAAGTGTTCCTGAGTGGCCGTGGATAACATGAGTCATGTAAGCAGTGTTTTAACTGCCGGTCAGTGTGCTCCCCCACATGTTTCATGCATGAGGTTGCTAATTGTTAACTGTAAGGAGAGCAGAATAGACAAAGGTGTGGTTAACCAGATCACATTGACCTGCTTCCCCTGGGATATCAAATCCAGTGGTGAGCCGTGACTTTTATACCTAGGCCCTCTGACCCCCACCCCTTCCCTCGAAAAATAAATAAATAAAAGAGTTATTACGTCACAGCGTATACTTCAGCGGAATATCAAAACATCGGCCCGGGGTGCAAAACGCATCAATGACAGCGACCCTCTACCACACAAAACAACACCTGTAAATAACCCAATTTGTGCAAAAGGATATTGCATTGTGTTTGTTACTTTCGTTGCAGTTGTATGTCTTAAGTGTAATTTGGCATGCTTTTATTTTGAAGGTGAGTTTACGCTGTTAACAGGAAGTTGTTGTTGCTATGGAAACAAAAATAGCTTTACAGGGGGGGGGGTCAATATGATTGGTCAATTGTACTGTCATTTGACATTACTCCCTCGTTGAGTGACCCTAGCAGGCCCTCTGTGAATTTACAGCTGGACCACCCATCAGCTCCTGTCTTCACCTCACGGAGACAAGCTTCTTTCATTTAACCCTTCACATTCAAACAGAAACTGAATAGGCAGATTCGAAGGATTTATGTCTATGGAAATGTTATTTTAAATGCAATTAAATCAAGTTATTTTGGTAAAACTAATGAAAAATATAACCAAAAACTTCTTTTTTTTAAATATATTAAAAAAAATTTTTTTCTTTTTTTAAATATTATTTTGTAGAATATATTAGGCAGAGAGGGCTCGCCACTGCTCAAATCAACCGCAGACAGCAAGCAGACCTCAGACACCTCTCCTTTTGTTACTGGGAAGCTGAACCTAATACTGGAAAAAGCCGTACTAGGGACGGGTGGCGCAGTGGTCTGTGCATCCGATCATCAGATCAAGGGGGAGTGCTGGGGAACTCCAGTTCGAACCCCGCTCCTGCCGCCACTGTGTCAAGCCGTTGTGTCCTTGGGCAAGACACTTCACCCGGATTTGCTCCTGTGGGTATTGTCCACAGTACATGTATAATACCAATGTGTACCTGTAAAAGCGCCTCGATGTCTTCGAGGCGTGAAGATGGACGGTGTGGCGCAGTGCGCCAATGATCATCAGATCAAGGGGTAAAACCCGCCGCTGCTGCGTCTGTAAAGCCGGTGTGTCCTTGGGCAAGACACTTCACCTGAACTTGCTCCTGTGGGTATTGTCCACAGTATCTGAATGTGTGTATCATATATGTGTAATGTGTGTATATGTAAAGCGCTTTGAGTCATTGATAAAGCGCTATAATAATAATAATAAATGTAAGGAATTATTAGATGTAATTAACGAGAGGGGAACTAGCATACTAATAAGAAGACTCCAAACAGAGCACTGTGGCAGAAAGTCAGACGCTTACCTGGATTGTTTCAGGATTTGAACAGCTTTTAGGACTAAAATCAAAGTTTTGAAGTGTGGACTAACAAATACTTATGATTGTTAGGTTGATGTAGCTTTCCAAAGTTTGTTTCTCTCTCAATTAAGAGCTAAAACACATGTTGCATTGTGTGTATTAGTGACCTGTGTTATCCATGAGTGCCCCTTATAATCTTTATTTACTATAATTCAGTATTTTAAGCCAGCTTGTCAACCTCTTTGGTCATCTGTAACTATTTATATTCATTTAACACGGCTACCAAACTGAGATTAGTATATTCGGACAGGTACAAGAAGACAGGTACTCACACAAGGAAGTGGTAGAGGAAGCATCTCAGTCCAGCAGGCCTCTCCAGGAAGTTGTAAACATCACCCTGCATGCTCGTCTTGGTGTAAGGGCTCTTGAACTCTTTTTGATGATTTAGCATCCAGCTGGAACGAGGGAGAGGCGGAGGGACAGAGGTGATGGAGGGCTGGCTCTGAAAGGTCGGGCGGACTGGGCTCAGTGGGTCCACTGGCGGAAAGGAGGAGATGCCAGATCTATTATTCCCGCCTGGGGGGTCCAGTAAAACTACAGGGTAGGGCCTTTTGTCCGGTCTAGTAGCCAGCAGGGCAGTACTAGTAGTCGTAGTGGAGGCTGCATCCATGTCCTGGTCCAGGCTGAGGCTGGTGCTGGTGCTGGCGTAACCGTTAGGACTGCAACTTATATAGGAGCTCCCCATCCTGCTGCCGTAGTCGCGTTGCACATGGCACGTCATGTGAAAGGAGTGTGCTCGTCTCTCCCCCATGGTGCCGTTCAGAGTGAGCCCAAGGAGGATTTAAAAGTCCTTGAAAGTCCTGGAGGTTTCGACCAAGATAAAGGATGAGTCCTGTAGGATAAGACACCTAGCAGGAGGCTTCTGTGCTGCACTGCATGTCCATACCTGAAGAGGGAGGATTGACATGAGTTATGGAGATAGTATGACTGAAATAAGCTTTGCCCTGTATAGCTAGGGCTTTGTTAATTTAGAATCCCTCATGAAAATACAAGACAATCTAAAGCTTAAAGGTGGGGTATGTAATTTTGGAGAAACCAGCTCGAGTGCGCTAGAATTTTAAAGTACACCACCGGAAAAAATCTGCCTCTTCCTTCAGACTTCCTCACAGAGCCCCTCCTCCAACACACACGAACATGCACATGACCAATGAGGGCACGAGATAAGTTTGTGCACAGATGGAAGGCTGACAGGCAGGTAGGCCATCCAGTTACTTTAGCCGGGCCGGCTCAGATAATTGGTCGTGCTTTTTACAGCGCTACGGCTTCCACAGATGACATTTTTGTCAAAGCATTTAATATATTCATTGCTATTGGGATGTTAAGAGCATTCCATGGAATATAACAAAAAGTGTTTCTGAAATAAATTACATACCCCACCTTTAATGTGCTGAACCACTATTAAATTGTATTTACAACTGTGATAATTTATTTTGGCTCAAACTGCATTCTTTTTAACATCATCTTTTATATCTCACAATATTTTCAAACTGTTGAGTTTTTTGGGAGTAGCATAAAAGTAACCCACAAGGATATTAATGGTTTTGATAATTGTTTGGTTAATAGGTCTTAACGCAAACGTTGAAGTTACTATTGAAGCAACTTCTTCTGTAACAGGTGGCATTCGAGCGTAGCAGAAATTATAATTTTACTACAAAATATCCTCATATTATAATCTGGCAAATAGGAAAGGTGATTTCCCTTAGCATGCTACTTTTGAAATGTTGCCATACTTGGATCAGAGAACTGTTGTGCTTAGGGCACTGATGTAGATTAAGCCTTTTCATTGTGTAACAGCCCTAGTTTTTCATCTGCAGGATGTTGGCGCCATGAGGAGTCGATGTTTGCTAAGTTAAAAAGTGGTGGAAAATAGAAGGGAATGCCATTTGTGTGAGTGATAATTAACAGTGGCATGTACACTTTTGAAAATGCTAATTCAGGGAGGCTATGACACTGTGACTTATGACCATGTAATATCCACAGAACAGAATAAATGTGTGTCAGAAACAGGTCAGCAGTCTTTTTCTGAGGATTTACCACTGCAGAACTTTTGCTTTGTCATTTATTGACGTCAAAACCTGCCTAGTTTCCCATCTGGGAAAGTAAAACAAATGCAAAATAGGCACTCTGCTAACATTTAGAGAAAATAATCCACTTTTATGTTATCCAGCCAACATCTAATGTTAAGCCAGTGATACAAAACGCGTCACATCAGAAAAGCTTAAACAATGTGCAAGCAGAGGAAAATTAGACTGATTAAACCTGGAGACAGTTTGAGGCCACGTTAATGACTTTTTGGCAACTTGTCTCTGTTTTCTTCATTATAGTCACAGAGTGCAAGGTTAACGCCTATAGCACATTATTCATGCGTGCACACTGGTTCAACACTCCAAGTGATGCATGTTAATATTATTCAATGCTTGATTACTTCGAAAATTGGTGTCATGAAGTTAACTAAATATGGAAGTTATTTTTAAGTCATAATTTACTTCCCTAATCAAATCTATACCAACAATCACAGGAGCAGTACACTGTGTGAATTGTTCAAAGGGAGCTATAAATCAGTAACACATCCTAATGAATTATTGTGACTAATATCAGTTCCTTATGTCCCTAATGAACCTGTAACAAAGTATGGACAGTCTGACAACTTGACAAAAACAGTTTCCATCTAGTCAAAGTGAATTGTACTCCTTGTATGAACAATTAATCCGTGTGTCAAGGGAGGTAGGTGAGTATATCTTCTCTGGAAAGACACTGCACCAGGTAGTGTGATTGATGACCGGATGTTGTCGCAAAGGATCGGAAAAAGTGTCATGGGACAAAAGAGGTAAGCTAATTGGAGGCAGCCACCCCCGTCCATATCTGTCCTCAACTAGGGGTGAACTGATGACAACAAACACACACGCTGTTGTATCCCTGAAGATAGAGTGTCTACCTTTAAAACACACCTTCATGACACACACACACAATGAACCGTCAGACACTCCTGAACCGACTTTGACATATCACTACTGAAAGGACAGGGTGTGGGTTAAAACACAAATAATTATAATATTTAGATTGCACAGCCTGAAGAAACAAGTGTTACTCTTTGTATGCATAACTAACCTGTGTAAGCAGTACACTAAATAACAGGTTTGTTTAATGACGCTGCATAATCAAGCACATGGAAAGTCAATATTTGCATCAATTAATGCTGTACGTCACAATTGGTGAGCTCTTAAAGAATTAGACTGAACAGCAAAACGATGTCAAGCTTGAGTGTCAAATCTTACCTTAAACTCCAGAAACACTCCTCAAGTTGTATTCGGTGATAAATAATAGGACGTTATTTCAGAAGCCAGCAGAAAAGTTCGGATTTATTTTATTTTTATAAAAAAATCCAAAGTTCTATCGAAAGAATAACTCAATTAAAATAAGATTGAATTAATCTTCCAGCGCTAAAATGTCAAATGGACATCATAAACACAGTAAGAAGCATAAGTCTCTCATCGGCTGCTGCCTGCAGGACTTGTCCCTTTGAAGTGCATCGCAGCCTGTGCATGGATTTATGCTGCGTTCAAGGAATAGGGGGATTTTTGGTGTCAGTTTACTATTCGTCTACTACAAAGTTGATACATGTATTCAAATTGAGTGAAATATATGAAATGAATTATATTAGTGAAATATATTAAGTGAAAGGTGGGTCCTGCATCATAATATAATATTGTGGGCTTGTCTTGATAAGGGGTTGTGTGTCCAAATATAGTCCTTTGAGTGCAATCTTTTTATTCTAGCCTATATTGAAACCTCATGGTGCATGATGAGTCTCTTTAAAGTTGTGTTAAATCAGATTAACATTGATATATTATACACCTCGGCCAAAACAACAGGGGCCTTAACAGGGACTTGCAAACATGTTTTGCCCCAAAGCCCGAAAAGAAGTTCACAGATAGTGCACTTTGTATCCTTAATGTAAATTGGGTACATACACGTAGCCTAGTGTAACATCATGAAGACCAGGAATTAAACACTAGAATAGCAACACAACGTGATACAGTTCGACCAAGGAGTGTAAACAACACCACATATGTATATTCCCATCATAAACTAAACATAAACTAGCTAGGTATTGTATAAGCACGCTGATAGACATGTACACAACACAAACAAATATATTTGCAAACTTACCCCACATGCAGAATATTCTCTTTGTATGCTAGATCCGGTTGATGCAATTGTACCTCAATAAATATCACTGACATCCATGCTACTTCTTTAAATAGAAGTGAACTCAGTAGGTTTATCAACTTTACATTGACCTTAAACATTTTAATTGTGTTCAACCCTTTTTTATATCCAACAGGAAATCAGTCATGCATATGCCTCTGACTCTTGCGTTAACGTGGGTGGGTTTTCACGAAGTTTAGGGCTAAACGTGGGCCTTGCTTCTTCGGAAATAATGAGTTTACATTTTCAAGCTTCTTTGAACGCACCACAAAAAGCAGCATCTGTCACACTTGCACGGTTGCAGCCTAAAATAAAATAAAGTACTCGTGTAAATACCATAAGTAAATACGGATGGAAAACAGCTATTTTCATTCATTTCAACCAAAATAGTGTTTTATATTTGAAATAAATTATAACAGGGCCGAATGAAGTCCCATTATAAATTACGAGCTGTTATACCATACCTATGCTCACCTGTAGGAGGCGCTGAAAACTCGCTCTGCACCCTGATAACGTTTTGCAATTCGCCTTCTTGGTCCCTCACTGCACGCCGTAGTCATTGGGAAAACATGGCATCTCACGCAAGTAAGGCATTTCTGTCCCTAGGTCGAATTAATGTTTCTGGTGTTGGACTCCAGAAATCACTGAGCAGAGCCACATACGCGACCGGTGTGTCTACACGCACTGGAGGAGGAAATAAAGGTGCGTTTTACTGTCGCTGCTGAGAGACATACACACTCATTCGTGCTGCACGCCTAGCTAATGCATGGGTGCTGTTAACTAACCAAGGCCAAGTTATTGTCCCCATGTCCTTTGACAGTACATGTATATTAGCAGTCAGTGTCTTAATTTTAAATTAGACACATCACATCAGCTGTAATCACGGACAACCATATTTGTCATTTGTGCAATTTGATATGTATTGAGGCTTTATACATCCATGTTGGAGTTAGTTCAAGGGGTGTTTGTGTTGGCTCCTGTGTCTAGAATATTGGCAGTAACAAGATGACATCTTATCTTCCAAACATATCTACCCACCCTCAGAACTCATACTTAAAATAAGTAAAAAGTCAGAAGCATGGTCTAGAAACGGGAAGTAAATCTAAAATAACTGTAATACTATTAGGCTGTTTACTAGTGCTTCCTGCAGTTAAATTTTGTTGGATATTAGTTAATCTGCTGATGTACTATTCTTGTTGATTTAAATCTTAATCCCTAATGTGTGTTTGGTCTACCTTCACAAAACAAGCAAAATCAATGTACTTTCATAAAAGGCTGCACATGCTCACCATTTAAAAGCTGCTGGGATCTTGGGAATTTTAGGTATGTTTCTTTGAAAAACTGCGTAATGACATATCTAAATGGTTGGCTATTATTTTTCTGTATATCAAAAAATCTATTTGCAAATTAACATAAACACACTTGTGTGGCTCTTTTATAAACAGTACAGCAAAAGATCATAATGATAAATAAAACAGTTACAATGTACATCATACTATGAAATACACCTTTCACATACACCTTACCTACATGGTATCCTGA